TGACAGACAATCAAACATGCACCTACTCTTCAGTGTGCTTGGTACTGACGGGGCTGAAAAAAAAGAAAATAAAAATGGAGCTACCAAATAATTTAGCCTCATAGCTGAAATCTGATTATGAAAAGGAATGAAGAGCAATCTCCTTTGGCCTGCTACTTTTACTGCAAAGGAAAAATCAGCAGCTCCAGTTGCAACGTGGCCTTCTTCCATTTCAAAACTTTCAATTCTCTGAACATTCTAAGATTAACATCAGCCCCTCAGCTTTAAAAACACATTTTAGATAGCATATACTTTCCTCAATCCATCTTTGATTTTGGCTCTCTGATAATTTAATGTCTTTCTAAAAGATTGAACTTTTGCAATTTTGGATTTAGTTTGAGAATAACTATCTTGGACCACTCAATGGATAAAGAACTGGCTGCACAGTCACAGTCAAAGAGTTGCGGTCAATGGCTCAATGTCCAAGCGGAGAGCAGTGACGTTCCTCAGGGGTCAGTACGGGGACCTGTACTATTCAACATCTTTGTCACGGACATGGACAGTGGGGTCGAGTGCACCCTCAGAAAGTTTGCTGATGATACCAAGCTGTTTGGCGAGGTAGACATACTGGAGGGGAGGGATGCCATCCACAGGGACCTGGACAGGCTGGAGAGGTGGGCCCAAGCCAACCTCATGCAGTTCAATAAGGCCAAGTGCAAGGTCCTACACTCGGGTCAGGGCAATCCCAAGCACAAATACAGGCTTGGCAGCAAATGGCTGGAGAGCAGCCCCGAGAAGGACCTGGGTGCGCTGATTGACCAGAAGCTCAGCATGAGCCAGCAATGTGCAGTCGCAGCCCAGAAGGCCAACCACATCCTGGGGTGCATCAGAAGTGCAGCCAGCAAGTCAAGGGAGGGGATTCTGCCCCTCTACTCCACTCTCCTGAGACCCCACCTGGAGTCCTGCGTCCAGCTCTGGAGTCCCCAGCATAAGAAGGACATGGACCTGCTGGAGCGTGTCCAGAGGAGAGCCACGAGGATGATCCAAGGGCTGGAGCACCTCTCCTATGAGGAGAGGCTGAGAGAGCTGGGGCTGTTCAGCCTGGAGAAGAGAAGGCTCCGGGGAGATCTTATTGCGGCCTTCCAGTACCTAAAGGGGGCCTACAGGAGAGCTGGGGAAGGACTTTTTACTAGGTCATGTAGTGACAGGACAAGGGGGAATGGCTATAAACTGGAAGAGGGCAGGTTTCGGTTAAACATTAGGAAGAAGGTTTTCACTTTGAGGGTTGTAAGGCACTGGAACAGGTTGCCCAGAGAGGTTGTTGAGGCCCCATCCCTGGAGGTGTTCAAGGCCAGGCTGGACGTGGCCTTGGGCAACCTGGTCTAGTGGGAGGTGTCCCTGCCCATGGCAGGGGGGTTGGAACTCGATGATCTTCAAGGTCCTTTCCAACCTAAACCATTCTATGATCTTTGGGCTACTTCTCCCCTGCTATTACCTTGCAGCTAGCTATCCACTCAAGCCCTCCTCCCACAGAGCTGAACCATAATACAGTCTTTTTCTATATAGCTGCATGCTCAGTGGTGACAGGGAAAGACAGCTGCCATGTAACTATTATTTCAATTGTTTTCCACTAGGAAGAATGAGCATCACCTGGCTCATCAGGATTGGCAAGCACTAGTTATACACTGGCAGCACCTCCTGCAATAAAGGCAGATTTTGTCAATTAAATCCCACTTTCATTATGGTTTGCTGACACTGGGTCTGCTGACAATATTCAGTCAAATTCTTTACATCCTTCATCTGCTGTACACCTCAGCCCTAAGATGCTAAAATGGAGGGATATCTTGCCCTCTCTGCTGTCCTACAAAATTAAGAGGATCCTGCTAAACTAATCCCAGATTTAAAAAAAAACAAACAACCAAACCAAAATAAAACCCACCAAGCCCTGCAAATGAATTTATCCATTGCTCTTCATCTCCTCAAAGAACTGAGAAGTTACAGGCTTTGTTGATTCTCCATTTATTTTGAGAAATATAAAATATGAAAACTAGTTTACAGTTCTGGCACAAAAAAGATGAAGCAATAAGCACAAATTTTCTTTTTACAAATAATGCTATATATTTTTACCATTTAAAAGTGCCTAGAGTTTTTCACAGCAAATAAAGTTTATTTACCTATATCTTTTTTCTTAGTAAAATATTAAATCTATTTAAATTGCACATAAACACCTTGGTGAAGTAAACTATATGTGAAGTTACAATAAATCTGTACTTAAAGCAGACAGTCATTAGAAACTACATGGAATGGAAAAGACTATCAAAGCCTAAACTATATCTTAAAGATTGACCAAGAAAACAAGGGACAAGACACCAACTGATATGGCACAAGTGATTAAATTATTGACAATTTGACAAAAAGTAATAAAGCCTATTTGAAGTTCTTCACAGATCTAATACACCGCTAAAACATTTCAACGTAGAGGTTTTGTAACATTTAAACTGGCAAAATAGTTTTTTGGCTGCTAAACATTTTTCCACAAGATTACAAGGCATCTCCTTCACTTGATATTGGACCTTAAAATGAGTACATTGGTTGATAGAGAATGTGCATAAGAAAAAATTTACACCAAAGTTTGCTGTAGTTGACAATTTACTATGTTCTGACAATAAAACGATTGAAACGTTTATCAGTTAATTTTAACTCCATTCACTTGCAACAGCAGAAACTAGAACATTTTAAAAGATTATTCTTTACTTGTTCTGTCAAAAGACTTGCTTTGCTCCCATTTCCACAATTGCTGAGGGGTTCAACCTACAGCGTTACTGTCAATACAACCACTTATGCTATGCAAAATTAGGCATGAACTGATGTCTCTACAGATGAGGGCCATAACTTTGACCTAGTATTCTTATTTCTCCTTCAGACACTTGCACTGAATTCCACCTGTCATTATCTGGAGGACTCTTCAGTCAAGAAAGAGTGGTAAGTGAACTAAGATATTCAACCTGAAATACTTTTAAAAGGCCCAGCTGCCATAGTGTCTTTGTGTGCTCTGACCTTCTGGATTATGTTTCTTAAATGCAAACCCTTCACCATTCCAAGTTGAAGACCCAAAAATTCAAGTATCCAAAGTCTTACTGGTTTTTAAGTCCTGACCTTCAAGCTTGTGTTGATGTCAAGTCATTTACATAAGCATTTCTTTCAAACTACAGCACAACTGATCCACCCATTTTGGCATCTTTTGCAGGTGGTCAAAGGAGTATTTGATTTGCATCAAAACAAGAATTAACATAGATAATAGGGTCCAAATAGCATTGTTATGTTGCTTTAAGAAACATAGCAATGTTGACAATGGAGGTACGAGAAATGCTCCATTATGTCATTCACATTAAGCAGCACAGGAAACACATATGCACACTAGATTTCTTTGCACTGAAGCCCAGCTGTTTAAAAATGCAGGAATACACTATTCTCAAAATTAGTATTATATTATAGGCATGCACAACTTCACGTATCTAAACAAAATTAGGAGGCAGGACCTAAAACATAGGCTTTGTCAAGATTTCAACAATGCCTTAACGTTTGCAATCTAATGAAAGTCTAACCACTTAAAATGAGAGTGCCAGTGTGACCCTCCTCCAAAAATATGTTTGTAAACCAGGTACTAAAGCAAGTTTAATCTACGTGAAGAAAATTTGAAGAGTGATAACCAAATTCAGAGAGGGAAAACAAACAGCCTCAATAAATTACATTTTAAAGGTTTTCCAGTTAACCACCTATTACTTTTCCTCTCAGTTTAACTGAATACCTCTTCTTAAATAGATGTAGAGATTACCTTAACAAAAGCAATCAATTTTGCCTATTTTGTTGTTAAATACTACTTTAAAGGAAGTGAAAGTGCCCAGTTTTATGAGTAATTTTAGATTCAGAGTACTGACTGAAAATGGAAAATATGACATTGAAAACACAGCAGTGCTAACAAATACAAAATATGCAGCTTTTGGAAAAAAAAGCAGCTCACAAGGCACTTGCTATAGTGGTCCATCAAATAAACAGTATATATAGTGCACCCTTAAAACATCATTGTTATGTCATCAAGCTTTTTCAGTGTCAAGATTCATTAGAAACAACCACTGGGTTCTGTGTATTCTGAAGCAGTTATTGAGCAGCCTTGTTTCATACAATGTAAATGAAACAAACTAGAAGTGGGGCACAGAAGGAGAGTATTTTAAATCATTTCTTGTGATGTGAAAGTTTTTCTGTGTAGTGACAAAATTAAGGGTGGAATGCCATTCTGACACACGCTCCTCCCCCTGCCGGCCCCTCTGCCCCAAAAAGCTACATTCATGCTACT